TGAGGCCAAATGATGGGAAACTGGGATTAAAGATAATTACTCACATTTTTGCTGTTAGGAAGTGGACGAAATGGAGAAACTGCAGAGTGTCTTGGCACTTCCCTGACTCTTTTCAGACTTGTCCAGCACAAAGTTCTGTTGTTATCTTGTACCTACAGTGTTATTCAAGTGCTGCTTTAAGAAGCCACCCTGAAACTGGTAGGGATTGAGGTGGGAGCAATCACTGGGTAGGATTAGCATGGTGATTTTATCCATGCAATATGTTAGTGATTTATAAACATTCTGTATTCTTGCTAGTAGAATATGGAGAACAATGGGGATGATTTCATGCATCAGAGTGTGCACATAATAAAATCCCAGGAGACAGAATAATTTTGGGGAGTATGGAAAGTCTGGAGCAGAATATGATGTGTAACTAGGGCTTACTTTATGAAAATAGTTCTCAACAAATCATACAAATATCTGAAGACTAAAGAATGAAATATCCTTTTGGTTACATAGAGGGAATTTTCACTGAGACTGGCTGTTTGCTGACATGGCCAAATACGGACATATGAACAAAATATGAACATAATTTTAAATATGAACATAATTTTTAAAATTATTACAGGTGAAGTGTTTTGTTTTCCACATATTATTTTTCTTCCTGGATGCCATTTTGTCTACTGTTAAGGAGATGCAGAGCAAAAACTGAGTTATTGCAGCCATGTACATGGTTCATGCTGCTTAGCTGGTCTAAAAGGGACTAAATGATAATTACTTGACAGATTGAGCAATAGGTTTTTTTTTTTCTTAGTCTTTCTAATTTCATGATTACATAACATTCTCTTACAACACAATCAACAATGGCATTCATTGGTTTTTGTTAGAAATTTAGAAAAAAAGCCTGAAGAATTCAGTAAAACCCATGTTTTGTGCCTTTACATGTTCTGGATGCAGGTGTTTTTCAAGGGTTTTCTGCTAAGCCTTCTTTTCACTTTGTTATTTTGCACAGTTTTTCCTGAATGAATCTTTGTGTCATAAAGACCTTCCCTGACTGCATTCTGACCACCTCTATTTGGAGCTGCTGTAAAGAAAGGCACAAGGCCTGTGGTGGTAAGGATTGGACCACCCCACCTGGAAATGAGATGCTAAATAGTTTTAGGGTTGTTTTGTGAGCTCATACTGATTATTATTTGTCAGCTCCCCATGAACTGGATTATAATTGTGATTGCACATAAGTTTGCAAGGTCTCTTTTGATGAAAAGCTGGACCTGAGCCAGCAATGTGTGTTTGAAGAAGCCCTGAAGACCAAACACATCCTGGGCTGCATCCAGAGCCCTGTGAGCAGAGGGCAAGGGAGGGGATTCTGCCCTTCTGCTCTGTCCTCACGAGACCTCACCTGGAGAATTGCATCCAGCTCTGGGGTCCCCAGCACAGGAATGACATGGACCTGCTGGAGGACATCCAGGGGAGGGCCATGAAGATGATGAGGTGGCTGGAACATTTCTCCTATAAAGACAGGCTGAGAAATTTGTGGCTGTTCATCTGTGGAGAACACTCTGGGGAGAGCTTAGAGAAGCCTTTAGGTACTTTAAGAGATTTTACAAAAAAGAGTAAGAGTTATATCTTTAATGGACAGACAATAATATTACAAAAGGGAATGATTTCAAACTCAAAGACAAGATTTAGGTTAGATATAAGGAAGAAGGTCTTAACTGTGAGGGAGGTGAGAAAGTGGAACCAGTTCCCCAGAGAAGTTGTGGATGTCCCATTCCTAGAAACATTGAAAACCAGTTTGGATGATGCCCTGAGCACCCTGGCCTAGTGAGTGGCATCCCTGCCTGTTACAGGGAATTGGGAGCTAGATGAATTTAAGGTCACTTCAAACCTAAGCCTTTCTATGATATGATTCTATGACTTCCTAAATTCCCAATTCTAGCTGAAAAATGTTTAGCCTCAAACTAATAGTTTTTTGGGTCTTTTTCTAATCAGCAATAACTATAATGCTTTCAGAGTATGTTCCTGAGTGCATCTAGTTATGGAGGTTTGACAAAAACACATTGGATACAGCAATTTCTGAAGCATTGTGATTTCACCTTCTGAATGAATAGCTTTAAAGTGTCATAGCTGTCTTTCCCAGTCATCAGCTGCTTTGTAATTCATGGCAGTTGATAGCATATTGGATTCCCGGAAAGCAATTAGACAAGACTATTTTTTGTATTTTTCTCCTCATCTCTCAATCTGAACCTGCCTCTTTTTCATGTTAATTTTAATGTAAACCTTTTTTGTTTGGTTGGTTTTTTTTTTGAAGCTACGTAGTGTCTGCAGCTCGATGCATTAGCGGTGCCCTGCAATCTGGGGCAGACAAGTTCCACATCAGTAATTTAATAAGTCGTACATAAAACAAAACAACATAGATTTATTTTATTTTAAAATTGAATAGGGTCAGCTGTGTGAGCAATGTATCTGCCAACTACTGTCATTGTCCTGCCTAGGCAAGCTCATTTATCTTCATTAGTAAACAACTTAAAAGGCAAAGAAGGTGGATAGCTTAAGGGAATGTTATTAGGACACAAAATCTCTGATGTCTTGCCTAAATCCAAGCTGAATTACTTATTAGATATCTACCACCAGTACACATTTAGGGGATGCAGCTAAATATACAACTGTTATTAGCAGGTGACAGTGGAACAGGCAGTTGTCACAGCTGGGAGGTCAGCACAGTTAAATCAATCACAGTCAGGATGCCTGTGGAGAAAACAAGGTGCAAGCTTGTAAATTCTGGCAATCACCAGCATTTGAGGTGCATTCATTCAGTTGCAAAGCCTTAAAATTTAAGGGCCACTGACTGGAAATCTTAGGCATAGGTGATGAATCTAAATATTTTTCCTTTTTAAACCTATATTCTTTGCTTTATGTTCTCTTGTGGGAAACTGTGATTTGTGATATATGAAGCAGCTCAAATAAGCAGTTTTCAACAGTAAAAATTAGTGAGCAAATTGTTTAGTTTTCCAGTCACTTAATTTCCCATACCATCAATTCAGTAGTCCTATGGTGACTAATATCACACAAAGCAGTTTAAGCATGAATACACAAACATGTTGGATGCTGGTGGGGAAGGGCATTCTCTACTGAAGTACCGCAATAAACCCGCTATAAATTAAAAACATATAATCTGCCTGCATAAAAGCCAGCATGAACTTGCAAAGCCTTTCTGGGGCCATTAAAATATCTGTATTTCCCAGAAGAACTCATTACCCTAAGTGCATCCCTGTGGACTCCAGGAACACCAGCTATACTTGAGAAGTATCTCAAGGGCAACTGCTTCCTCTGTGTCTGAGAGGAGCATGGTTTTGTTCTTTTTCTAAAGACAGTACACATACTTGTAAAGGCGTGTTTAGAGGAAAAAAAGAAGTTATAGAATAGAGCAGGTGTTATGTCAACACCTGCAAACCTGCTTGTCACTTCAACTGTAGAATTTGGACAATTTTATTGTGAAGAGGTTTGGAACACTTGAATGATAAAAATTGATAATAGAAAACTCTTACTGGGGTCATGTACACTTCTCAGTATTCAGACTGCAATAAATCTTTCTAGTGCTATTGTCCCTTTTTTCATTGAGGGAGAATGTTTCCAACATTCTTCTCTTTTGCTCCTGAAGATTGTTTCACAATACATTATACCATACCGTTTACTTAATGTCTGAAATTTTTCACTTTGTTGCATAAAGGACAAGATATTAATTTTTTTGGTTTTACTCTTTTTTTTCTGTGAAATTGGCAATGATGGGAATGTGCATTTTTTAGATGAAATTGAGTACCTGAAGTTACGGACTTATGGCTCATGTCTGTTCTGTAGAAATGTTCTTCAGCTTTGCACATAAAGAAATGCAGAGAGTTATAATCCTTCTGCTTTCTTATTCCTTGCAATATGGAACACAACGTATGGTAAAAAGTTGATCAAATAGAGGTCAGCAAAGAAGTCTAGGAAGGCAGTGAGAGGTTTTCCTGAAAAGCTGTCAAAGCAAGGAGTACAAAGTGTGGCAAGGGCAGGTGATACCTGTTTGCTGTCTTTCTAAAGCTGCACACATCTCATAAGCAGCAATTCTTTTCTCAGTGTTCAAGGCATCAGAGTGCAGCCCCTTTGTTGGAAGTTGGTGGCATGGGTACAAGAACATATGAAGGCTACTTGCAGGAAACTCTAGGAACAGCTGAAGATGCTTTTCTCAGGCATTTGGAAAATCAGAAGTAGCTGAATAGTTGTTTCGCTGTGACGTTGACAACACAGTGCTGCTTAGACCCATTCTTAAACTTCCCAAGACTCTCTCTCTCACACACCCCGGAAAAGGATAAAAAACAGTGCTGATCTGAGCTTGCTCTGTTCACTGAAAGCATTGAGGGTTTTTGGAAGATAAGTGTGGTGATGACTTTAAGAACTGTGCTGTTTCCTGGCCTACCAAAAGAGCAGAGCAATGCAACCAAGTCTCTGCATGAAGAGACAGCACAAATTAGTATCAGAATTCTGGGGTTTATATTGCACAAGACTTAAGCAACTAAGGAAAAACAATTTGACAAGAATTTCCCCTCTTAAAGAAAACAAAGTGTGCTTGCACAAACAGGGAGAAAATAAAATTTAAAATATGTTTTGAAGTATCTTTGCCATGAGTTTTGTCTAACATTATTACAGGGAGAGTATTTCTATTGAAGCACTACAGGTTAATGGCCAAAGATCAAGTGTGCTGTAATAATTTTTTAAACAAATTTTTAAAAATATAAAATATTTAAGATTTAAATTATTCAAAAGTTGTAAGTATTGCTTCAGTAGATATTTCTGAGATTACTATTAGTAATATTAGTTTTGACTTTATTATTGGATGAGGAAGTAAATTAACAATATCACTGTTATTCTAAGAGGAAAAAGTAGAGACCTCAGTTCTTTTAGCAGTTCTGCTGCTGTTTCAGTATTTCTCATTTTGCTTCTCTGACTTCTTTGTATGAAAACCAAAGAGATATGAAACAACAGGATGTTTCCATTTCAGTGGATGATGGCATATGCCAGTAACTACTGTGTCAGTGATAACACAGCCAACTTATGAAAGAAGAAGCAGACTTCCTACAAACAGCAGTGAAAAGTGAAAATCTTTCTTAGGTAAGGGTTAATCTGCCAAATTAATAGGCATAGTTGATGTTGATGTAGAGTTAAAATAAATGTATCAAATATTGAAGCCATTGGTTGGTAAAGTAGGAAGCTCCATGAATGAAGGAAAAAAAAAATGCAGTTTTTTAATGTTACCTGTTATCTCAAAACAAACTGTGAGCACAATCAAATTTATGAAGGATTTATTAATACTGTTCTCTAAATTCTTTCCTTAATTGTTGTCCTCATAGGCAGTCACTCAAGGAGATCAAGTTAAATGTATCCATAGTCTGACCTTGTAACAAGTTGGAAATATGTAGAAAAAAAGGGTCAAAATTTCCTAGCTGTATGTTATTCTCCTCTGTGATTTTTTTTAGGCTTTTGGTTTGGTTTTGGTTGGTTGGTTAGGTGTTTGGTTGTTGGTTTTAAGTTTTTTTTTGCTGGTGGTGTGTTGTCGTCTTTTTAACTGTGAAAAGCAGTTGATGGGAAGAGATAACCAGAGTTTATCAGTTCTCTGACTACTGTGCTCTGTGGGAACTTAAGCTGTTCACTGAGAGGAGTGTGTCTTGGTATTTTATTTGCATAGTTCTTAAGAAAGCACTTAGCAAAAAGAAGAAAAGCCTAGGCCTACCATAGATAATTTTGTTATCTGTGAATACCTCACTGGAGTGAGCCCTGCAGTCAGAGAAACTCATGGTTCTTAATAACGATATAATTCTATAATGCTTGCACATTCAGAGTGAAATGATCAAGGTACCACCCGCTTTGAAACATTCTGCAGGTGGGACTAATAACCTGAGCTAGAGTTAATTAGTTCGTTAGTTATTAGAGTTAATTTAGTGTTAAAAGCTTGATGATAACCTCAGAGCCAACTGTAAAGATTATCTCTTAGTTCTTGTGAGGGGCTGTTTTCCAGACCTTGTCACAGGGTTTCTGATGAGCACAAAACAGGTAAATTTTTTACTAGGAAACTTCAGATTTTTTCAGGATTTCTACACACAAAGTATGTTTTAATGCAAAGTACTATGGCAACAGCTATAGCCTTTTAAACGAGGCTTTTCTTCTGCTTTAGCCTTATGAACTGGTAAACTTCAACACTGCAGCAAAGCAAAAGGGCTCCCTAGTGTCCTGGGAGAGCAGCTGGGCTTGCTCATTTGAAGAAAACAAAACCAAAATCTCTAGTGCAGCCTTCTCACTAAAGTACCAGCTGAGAAAAGCTAAGGATGGCAGCATGCTGGAGATAGAGAGGGGAAGACATGTGATTTCTGAGAGCTTTCTTTACCAAGACAGGAGATGTGAAGAAGCAAGAAGTTTGGTCCAAAGAAGGACTCCCAGTTTCTTTGCTCAATTACATGAGGCTACCCCTGATGCCTTGGCATACCTTAAATAAACCAGCTTGAGACAGCACTTAACCACAGCAATTGCAGTGCTGGTTTGCCTGACCTAGAAAACAGGGGAACAAAAACACTCTTTTACTCCCATTCCTGACCAAAACAAAACCAATCCTCCCCAGTCCAAAATGCAAGACCTAGAAGATCTGATCGTGCTCAGATTAAAGAAGCAAATTGTTTAGACAAAATAGTGGACAATTTCCTCGTGTTATATGTAAAACTACACTATATTTTTTCTCAAATATTTGTAGGTGTTTGTGTGGGAGCAAAAGGTATCACAAGGATCCAAAGGGGGTGAAGAAGGTCAGGGCTGAAGTGGATTTCAGGAGACCATGACTGTCTTCCTGAGATACTGAGGCCTGAACAGAAGAACAATATCTGTCTTCCTTTAGGTGTTTTACAAGGGGGATAAGGTAGAACTGCTCCCAAACCCCGAACTCTTATGTCTTGTGAGTTTTGTTTTTTCTGCCTTATTCCATGGAAGGTGCCCAGATGTGCAGATGTTTGTTAGTTCAATTACAGATTAATTTCATTGCCATTGGTAAAGGTGGCTAGAAAACACCCTGCTGCAAATGACAAGTTTGTGAATAGACAACATTTTGCAAACCTTATATGTAGGCTTACCTGACTTTTTTTTTTTTTCCTCACAAATAGCAACTTTGGATACAGAATCCAACCGTGGAGCAAGTCAGCAAGTTCTTAAGAGGTAAAAAGATACTCTCCATACTATATTTATGGGGAAAATCTTCTAGAAGTTGTCTAAAGGTTGATAATTTCTAGCTTTTCTCCCCCAGGTTCTGCTCTTTCAATATCCATCCATCAGGAAAACTAGAATTATTTAAGCTATTGATGTTTCTTGATTCTAGGGACTGTATGACTCACTAAGGTTTTCTTAGTTTTATTAACTAAGAAATAGTTATAAAACTAAGTTTTATTACTCAGTGACATTTTTTTTTCATTTTTAATAACTAGCTTCTTTGGAGAGGGTGGGGTGGAGTAAGGAGGAGGCTCATTACAATTTTTGATAATAATAATCCAAGTTGTGCTGCATAAGTGTTAACTAGAGTAAAAATTATTTGCTAAATGTACATGTACTGGTATGTAAATGTCCTTTGCACCAAGCTCAACACCCCCTTTCACAAACTGGGGCCATCATCATGATGTTATTTGTACAAAACACCTAAGATCAAGAGTAGAATACCAAAGAGACTGCTAAGGCAGCTGTTGAAGATAAAAACTGATTTAATTTCTTAACTATAGCATAGTTTCCTACTCCATTTGCTGTAACACTCAGCTCCTGGGGTTACTCCTGTGGAGGCACTTTCTGTTGTGCCAAGACAAAACCACACATAAACCACATGGAGGATACAACAAAAATCTCTTATTAATATATACAATAACAAGCTGGGACTATAATTTTTGGGTGGAGATTTTAAGTTCTCTCATCTGGTATTTTCTCTCAATGAGTCAGTACTGGCCAAACATCTTCCAGTCAGATGTGGAAGGCATCCGTGGCAATCCATGGCATCTTGGGATGGAATGACCCAAGTTTTGCTGAGCTGCCTTTGTTTCTTTCTCTCAGGCTTTTCTATTTTGTCACAATGCTGTCACAGTCTCACTTGAAAACTCCTAGTAAAGTTTCAGCTCGGCCCTTTCCTTTCTGTGTTCTTTCTTTATGCATTTTCTCTTCCAGGACTTCATAACTTCAAAATCTCTTGCTTTCTGACTGAGGTGAGAGTACAGCTATGGTTTTGTCATTAAATTTTTTCATTAAAACCTGCCCAAGTCACATATTTCCTGTCTTCCACTACATATTTAAGAAAAGTTCCATTAGAACTACTACTTATACACCTTATGTACATACAAATTGTGTTTGAAACTAAGCAGAAACTTCTGATTTCTGAAATTTTAATTGGTTACCGTGATAGCAATGGGGTTTTGCTTATATTTTTTACATTTCAACAGAGAATTCAGTCAAAATTTAGCAATAATAGGCTGTATAGAGGTAGGAAATTGCTTCATCTTTTTGTAATCAGACTGAATTAATTTCTTCTTTCAAAGCTATCTGGATTCAACAGCCTTGGCTGTAATTTAGCAAGAGCAGTCTGTCAGTACCCTGCAAAAATGGTCATTCTGCTCTCCAGCTGTGATTTTGCTAGGTCATAGAACCATGTGCATTTCAGTTGTGACATGCAAAACTTAATACCTTTTCATTTTATGTCTATTGAGCTTGTGGAGTTTTTTTTTCTTTTTTTGACTTGGGTCTATTGTTGCCGTAAATAACAAAATGTAAGACTATAATGTCACAGTAGGGCAAGAAAAAAAGAGGTCTGCAGAAAAAAGAAAAAAATCTTCCACTTATGATCAGTGTTGGTTTTGCCAAGGACTAATCCTTATAAATCAAGGAAGAAAAAAAGTCTTAAAACTTTTGCTCTTGTGGCATCTTCATCTATGTTTTTTGATTGCCTGTATTTTAATATTAAAAAACATAAAGTTGTTACGTAGGCCCTAGAATACTGAGCTCAATTTAAGGAAAGAATGGCTAATTTCAATGCTGTCTTCTCAGGCCATAAATTTCAGAGATTATGAGTGTGAATAGCTGGAAGCAATGTTCTCTTTCTCTTTAGATTTAAATTCCATTGCTGTTCTTTTCATGGTGTCATTCTTGCACTTCTGAAAGGAAAGAAAGGGAATACTGGCTGTCGCAGGAAAATTCTCTAATGCCTCACAAAGGAAACATATCTATTTCTCTTGTTCTTAAGATAACTAATTTGGGGGCTTTAAACCTTCTTTTGCATGCTGCTCACATCTATTCATAATTTTATGAGTGCCTTTTTTGGTTGCCTTCCTTAAAATATGGTTTTCTTTGATGATAGCATAAAAGGTTTTCAAAACAGAGCACAGTCCATTTGACTGCTGGTTGTCTGTTGGCTGAGTAATGTAATGTTCAAAGCACAAGAAACAGAGCTGTGGTATGCAGCACTTTACTTAGTGTGCTGGAAGGCTTATTTTCCCTGAATGCTTTGCACAAGGAAACAGTGGAAATATCATCTGTTAATTTAAGCAGCGTTTTGGAACCATCTTTTTTTCCTTCAGTCTCTATGTTCTGATTCTTATTTAAGACCGTGGCAAAAAAAAAATCTCTTACCTTGAAAAGGGAATGGTTTCAGCTTTGTCCATTATGCCCATATTCTTCTTCAGTCTGAAAGTCTTATCAGTGCTAGTGCTAAAGGGAGGAGCTTGGCAACATGATGTTGTATTGCAGGGTGTTTGTGAACAGGGAAATTTCTTTTAGTTTTTGTTAAAGAAAAAGATAATATGGTTCATTAACAAATTCACCCAAATTGCTCTTTGCTGTGTTGGTCATACCTGTACAAACCAGTAGTCATGAAGAGCTGATCCCAGAGGAACACTTGTGTCAGCTCTGAGGTCTCTGGTCACTTAACTCTGTCTCCCAGGTCACCTCAACATTTGTGTCACCTTAGTCTACAGCATGGTCATGAAACTGGAAGTGTTTAAGTATTCCAAGTTGTTAAAACGCGCTGGTTTGACTCCTCAGGAATCTGAACCAAAAGTATGACAATGTCACCAGATCAAATCTTGTTTGTATTTGTGTTGTACCTTAAAATCTCTATCAGGCTTTGTGGCAAAGCTTTCATATTCTTGCTAAATTATTCTGGACTTGGTGATAAGAAATGAATGTTATGTTGCAGGCTTTACACAGCCAAAAATGTCTGTGGTTTGGTGCCTTGTCTTCACTTGCTATTTCATGCCTTTTTTCCCACAGACCAGACACATGACTAAATACTTTTCTAGTTATGCAGTTTACTATGCTTGAGTTTCTCAGCTTGTTTTTTGTCTTCTTCCTGTAGAAAGATGAATCTTTGTGAATCCCTGGCTTCCTCCTAGGAGTTGTTTGCAACTAATGTCTTCCCTAGTTGTCTTTTTTTTGATGTGTATTGGAAAGGGACTTCATTTTTAAAACTACTGTCATTTCCTCTTCTGTTCCTCAGTGGATTATTTCTCTTTCTTTTTCCCTCTCCCCTTAATATGGTTGTTTTAAATATTCCTTTCATGAGAGTTCTTTACCCAAGTTTTTTTCAAAATATGTGAATATTCCTTTTAAATACTCTCCAAATTGCTATTCAAAATGTACAAAATGTAGTATGCCTCCTTTTTGATAATTTTCTGACTTCTTTTCCTCATTTTATTTCCTTCTAGGCAGAAGTTGTGTTGTTTGTTTAGGTTTGAAAGAGTGTAATTCCTGACCAGATGCCATTGTTTTACTCAGGCCTTGGGAAGATTTGCTAATTATCTGTGCAAATAAAGAAGTCTTGGTCCAGATGGAGTCAAATCTCTGATACCTGGCTTTTGAACCATAATGTGGGCTACCATCAGGTGTGGGCTTGCAGAAAAATGTATCAGGGATGTAGCAAAGGGTAAAGTTTGTATCTGCTATTTAAGCATTGTTCTTTATCCTTGGTGATTGCTTCATGCCACAACTGTAGAAATGTGTGTCCTATCTAATTTGTGTATTTATCTTTCTATTCTGCTGACTATCTTTTGTAGTTTAAGTAGAAGGGGATATTAAACTGTTACTCTTGCTTTTTCTATTGTTGTAGTTTTATAAAATACAAACACCTAATTTCTCTCTCTCCTGTATATCTGAATCTGTGATCTGTGGCAACTCAGCTAATCAGGGCAAAAATGAACAGCTTTGTTTCATGAATTGGAGTGGAAAACTTGTACAACTGCTTGTAATAGTCTCTTCTGGTCTCCATCCCCTTGCCAGATCTCTGAAAATTTCTTTAATAATCACGTTACCTTCATCTGATATTTTCACTTATTTGGGGAAAATGAAGAGAAAAATTTCCTTGGGGATTTAGTGTCCCCTTCTCAAATAATGCAAAGCAGAGTAATGGGATGCCATAACAAACCTATTTGTTTAAATGTCCTTAACAGACACCAGGAACACATTTAATGATCTGAAACGATCACTGTTAGTGATGGTTCTTGTAAGTCTTAGGGGATCATGTGTGCTGTTCACATTTAAGGGTCAGATGAAGCTCCCAGACCAGACAGGACTCTGAAGAGAGCAGAGCACAGATTTCTCCAGAAAACAAAAAGTGATAGGACTGATTTCTGTTTTCCTGGTAATAAAAAAGATGCCATGGGATATTATCCTTATATTTTGAGTGTCTAAATTAGATATCTAAAGCCAAAGCAACAATCCCGATTTTGTTTTCATATCCTCATTTTTTTTTCCCCTTTCCCCAGCATTGTGTGCTTAATTCTTAGTACGTTGAATTTGTGAATGTATATAGTAGCTTCTTAATTCAAGCATAGCTGGTAGCTTTTAGTGGTTATTTTTGGGCCATCTGGAACATGGACCTTAATCTTCCTAAGCTTTATTTTAAAAGGGCTGATGGACTCATTTGCCAAAGTTAAATTTGACAGAAGAGTGGTTTTATCTGTTCTATCAATTAAAGCATAGTCTATTTGTTATCAGCCAACAATATAATTTATGAGCACTGTAACTGTTAAATGCATTATGTTGCCCACACGGTGGCTGTCCTGTTGCCTCTCTCTTCAAATATACTATTTTTTTTTTAACTGGAGAACCTATTGCTTCTGCTAAAAGCATGCTAATCAGGCATATAACACTGAAATATAACACTGAAATATAACCAGGAACTCAGCCCACAGAACTCTGATGAGTGTGGAGGCTTAATGTAGCAGAACAGAAAGCAAAATGGAATCACTGTCAGAATCACTAAAACCTTATTCTTTTCAAATTTAACTAAAGAGAAAGAATTGTTATTGCTATTTTAAACCAATAAAAACATTTTGACCAGTACATATTCACTTATCCTGAAAAATTTGTTTCCAGAGAGCAAGATCCTACTTTGTATAACTGCATATCTCAAAAAAATAATTTGGAAGAAATGTATGTATTCTTTAGCATCTTTCATGGTAGGGAGAATATTGTTTTTAAAGTATGTTTATATTTTGTAGTTGGAAGCTTTCCACAAACACATTGTGGAAGTCTATTTTGGTGCCAGTCCTACAGAAATGCTTTGAAGTGAACTTCCCAGCATTACATATAAGTAAAAAGTAGTACTGAGAACAGTAACATACATTTTTCTCTCATTTTCCTGAGCTTTTCCTGAGCCTCAACAATGCCTATTGATGACAGCAGCTATGAAGTCTCTGTAGGTGCTGTATTTGTCCTTTTCTACTGTGTCATCAGTATTTGCTCTGTACTGACTATTCCTAACCATCGTGAGGGTCAGCCACGAGTGACTGGTACTTGGCCACTGAAGAACATGCCCACAGTGCAGGTCTCACAATTTCTGTCTGTGAAGTTGGTGCTGATGAAGATTCATCAAAAGGGAGAAGAAGGATGCAATTAGAGGACTTCCCCTCTCTTTGAATGACTGTTTTTTAATAGGTTTTATGAGCTGTGCAGCATGCTTCAACTCTGTGGTCAGGAAAATATATGAATAGAATTTGCAGTACTGAACCTTCCAAAGGAATATGGGTAACTTGGAAGCTCTCAGAAATATTTCACCCTTTTAATTTAACTCTTATGTTTTCTGAAAGGTGATCAGTATCAGGGAAATTGCACTGGGCTTTGGTGTGCCAAGCACTGATTTGTAACCACAGTGTCTCACAGAAGACTGTTAGTTTAGTGTGCTCAAATGTTCTAAATATTTGAAGAAGCAAGCTGCTGACAAATTGAAATGAAATTGTAATTGTGATGTTACCTTGATAGTAATTTCTGTACTTTTTTGCTCAAGAAATAGTTCCAAAGCACTTTGAGAAAATGAAGGCTACATCAAATTAATACTTGTTTCAAGCCACGTGCCTGATTGTCCATCTGAAATCTTATTTTCAGGCAGTCTGTTTGGACTTCCCAAGTTATTCAGGCAGTGAGGTACAAAGACTTGCACGCCCAGCTCCTGTAGAAGTGGGGAGCTGATAGCCTTGTCTGAGGTCAGACATGCTGTAAATGGGCAAAAACCTCCAGAGAGCTCTGCCACTGTACCTTATATTTGAGCTGTGTTCTGCCTTGGCAGTCATTCAGAGTCATGTACTGGATTTTACATATGCCAGGCCATTTGCACCATCTGCAGCACAAGACTCTGTTGAGTGGAAGGAGGTTGGGCACTTGGGTAATTGATGTCAGTCCATTTGGAGAAGGAACTGTTATTGAAGCAGAAAGCTCAGGAGACTGAGATTTTGGCATTTATGTCAACAAGGACAATCACAACTAGTGCTGTGTCCTGAGCCTTAGTAACTCTCATTTAAAAAGATGTACAAGTTGTAGGGTTCATAGGAAATTCCTCCAGAATAGTGATGGTGTCTGTACGAGGCACGGCAAGTGGCAGTGCAAAGGGGCCTCTCATCCTAAGAAATACATGAAATCAGGTATGTGCTGTATTGTCTCAGCTGCTTGGTGCTGGAATGTGGGGCCAAAATTAATCTTGTGGCTACTACATCTTGAGAACGTCCTTTTTGAACTCTGATAAATGCAGTCCCCAGGGCTGACTGTGGTGGCAGTGAAATGACTGACTGCAGTGCTTACCACCATGACAAAATAGCAAATATTTCAGTCTGGCAGCTGTGATTTTCCTTAACCCTTTTGCCAGCAAGTGTAAAATTCAGTCAAAAACAAAACAAAACAAAAAAACCAGCAAATAAAACAGCTCTGTGGCAGCTGTATTGTCATGACTTGACTCTAGACCCTAAACCTCTATCTCATAGGGCAAAGCATTCCCTCACAGATCCAAATTTGGTCCTGGCAACAAAAGAAAGTCTCAGACAAATTGATATAATGCTCAAAATATTGTAGTGTTGACACAGAGGGTCTGATTGGATACTACAGAGTAAATTAAGGCAAAAAGTTATGGGTTTGGTCCCAATAAGAAGCAGCAGGGCTGTACAGTGCTAGTGCAGAACTCGTTTTACAGTGAGCCTTACACTGTAAAATTTGAGAATTGCCATGCACCATGTTCTTCATGGATTAAGTCCAAGCATAAGTGGAATTAGACCACAACCCACCCAAGCTAGGTGAAATTAAATTCACTGAACTATGATACTCACTGTGAAGATGTTGTGTTATTTTTGGGTTTTGTATCAGCCATTTACAGAAATGTACCAGTTTAGGATTACATAGAAAGTTATCCTTCAGTTACAGTTTGGGAGGAGGATGATGGTGGTATGTTGTCCAAAAATTTTAGGAATACCTAATATTTTTTTGGATGATGCCATTAAAATGTTACTAATTCTATACATCTTGGGGAGTTAAATTACATCTTTTCAGGTATGAAAAAAAATTATGGTTTGAAGAATCTAGTTTCATAAAATCTCTCCTCTTACTGTGATTTTTTTTATAGTTTCAGTCAGAGATGAGCAAAGCAGCAGCCTTTGCATAACACCTGCCACCACCCAGCAGGCCAAAGGCAGAGGGTGAGCAGAGGGGTCCAGGGCCCTGACTGAGAGCATGGATGCGAGTTCTCCAGCCTCAGTCACGCATCACACAGACCTGTAAGTGGTGGGTCCCAAACAGAAACAGGCTCCAGCTGTGGCTGTGCTGTCCTAGCAGCAGCAAGAAAACTGTGTGTGATTTTGCAGTGCTTTGAGTTATCAACTTCTTCAGCTGGCGCTTCACCTAAACTAAAGAGAAAAGCACAAATATATAGACACACACACAGAGATGCAATTGTACATTTGTCTGTCCATATATACACATCTATTCCTGTATATATGTGTACAAACACATTGCACACATAAATCTGCATTGGCAGAAATATGGATATCTTATATCCTGATCAAAATACACTACAAATTTTCATCCATGCTGTTGTGGAGGAAAGAAATAGAATTAAACTCAGAAAGAGGTGAAGAGTTATTGAAGGATCCTGATATGATGGCAATTTTCTGTATCATACTGCTGGTATAAGAACATCTGTAAAATATATTTCTGTAGAGTACCCAAAGATTACATTAGCCTGTTTAAAATATCCCTTAATGAATCCTGATTCTTCCTGTATGAAACCCAAGAGCATTTACAAATAGTTCTGTCATATTGTGTCCTATGTTTTGGAAAGAAAAAGCTGAAATTCAGCTCTCTGCCTTCTCATGAGCTTGCTAAATTATCCTTAATTTTGAGCATTTAGTTTGTGAGTGAGTTTGGATAATTAAAGCATATTCCATTAGCTGAAATGCATAAGCATTGTTACCTGCACAGCTGTGTTCCAGGAAAAATGTTTTTTTTTTTATTTTTGTGGGGAGCTCTTCCTATTGCAGAGGAGTTTTCTAGAAAAAAACAGCACTAGAAAAATGTGAATATTTTAATATCCCTATAAATTGTTATTTATCCATTGCAACTTTTTTTTTTCATTCAAATACCTCACAACTTTGCTGTGTTTTTAGTTACATTTGCTTTCTGCTTTTATATGTTTGGGTTTTTTTCAATAGTCCCTATTTGAGGAGATAAGGACTTGAGAAAATGAGAAGAGGCACTCTGGCTTTGTGTTATAAACTGTTTATATAAATATTTTACCTCTTTTTCATGATTCTAATAATTTTTAGAAAGCTGTCTAGTATGAAGACTTCAATAGTTCCTTTAGCAGGTGTTTCTCAGAAGACCAAGCTGGAAATCCTGCCCCTGTTATCTCCCAATATGGATCAATCTATGGCCCCAACAGAGCCAGTAATGTGCTACATGCATTGCTTCCACCCTGAATTAGCAAGCTGTGGAGCTATATGGGAAAAGGTGAAGGAAATTTGCCTGGGAGCATTTCTCATTTCAGAAGGTAAGAATGATTTTCCTTGGAGCTGGTTAACACCTTGTGGAAGTGTTAACTAAGTAGGGCTCACCAATCTGAGCAAGTGCAAAATGTTTGAACTATATTGGCTCTTTTTCCCAAGATACTCCTACATTTTTCCTGCTTTGTTTAGACACAGGATTTTAACAGCAGAGAAAGAAGGACTTACTTTGCCCCTCAGTGTTCTACTCTCTCTTCTTGTGCTTCAGTCCCTTAAAAGTGTCTAGGTTGTAAAATGTAGTCATGTTCTTTCAATACTGTC